CCATATTCAAGGTCACAAGGAGCAAATATGTTCAAAATATTTCAACAACTTGTTCTGAATAACCAAAAGGCTCAGGATGTTGATATTTAGTCAGTAGCATATGCTGGGATCAAGGACTACTTTGTTTGTTAAAGTGAATGTTTGACTTATATTCAAGGTCACAGGGGTCAAATTTGTTTAAAATCTTTAAACAACCTCTTCTGAATAACCATGGGTCCCAGGATGTTTATACTTTGCAAATTGCATCCTAAGATGAAAGGCTATACAATGTGTTCAACATAATGACTTTGTTTGACTTTCAATCACAGGGGTGAAATGTTTTAAAAAAGAATAACAGGGTCTTTTGAATGAATTTTAATCATAAATACTGATATTTTGCCTGTAGCTTTATTTTAGATCACTTTTAAGGTTACAAGTGTGAGTTTTATACCAGGTGAGCAATGCAGGCCCATTGGGCCTCTTGTTTAAATAGCATTGAAATACAGAATTCATGAAGTTAATATATCATTAACCAAATGTAATTTCCTTGGATCTTTTAATTTGCAGTGTGTGACAAATTCCTAAAGTTGGGGATTAAGTAACACAATATATATATATAATACTGTTGGGGTATGAATTTCAATTTCAATTCTTTTCTTTACAGATGCAGTTTATGCTTCTGTTTAGTCGACAAGGGAAGCTACGACTCCAGAAATGGTACACCGCCCACACAGACAAGGCAAAGAAGAAGATTACACGAGAACTTATCACACTAGTGTTGGCGCGCAAGCCCAAGATGTGCAGTTTTCTGGAGTGGAAAGATCTAAAAATTGTGTATAAAAGGTAGAAATAATGTTACAGGGTATATACAAGTCAGTATATTGATTCATGGAAACTTTATTGACGGTATAAGGTATATAACATTTATATATATAGTGATTTAGAAAAGATCAAAATCAATTTTGCATAGCCTTTATTACCTCTTACCAATATTCTATGAACAAATTTTCTATTCAGAAAGTGTTCTTTCTTTTTATACGCCCGCCAAATTTGACAGGAGTATTATGGTATGGCGTCATCCGTCCTTCCGGCGTAAACTTTAGTTTGTCCGGCAATAATAATCTTCTCCTGCATTTTTCGACCGATCTCTTCGAAACTTGGTATACATTATAATCATGATATGAAGATGTGTCTCCCTTAAAAGAATTTTGTTTCAACGAATTTTGCAAAAGTTATTGCCCTTTGTTAATTTCATGTATTTGATTTTTTTGTCCGGAGATTTTCTCCTACATTTTCTATAGCATGTCAGCTAACCACTCTTAGAATGATGCAGATCTTATTTTAATGTAAGAAAGTATATAACACTATATGGCATTCGACAGGCGTATATTGTTCCGCCCGCGGTACTCCTAAATTTTTTTTAGTCTCAATTTTGAATTGCATTTGAAGCTCTATTTGTTAAACGCAATCACTGAAATCATAATGGTGTTGTTATATTCAGTCGGGGAAAGAATTTGATTCAATATACATCTGTACTTGTACGCTTTTGTTTATAGGATTGTTTTCTTTCCCTTGACTGCTTATTTCAATCCTGTAAAAATAATTTAGCTGGTAAGATATTACTGAAAGTTATTTGTTATGTTAATCACTATGTCATGATTACTATTTTATTTTTGTTTTGTTTTTGTTCCTAGATATGCGAGTTTATACTTCTGTTGTGCAATAGAGCCGGAAGACAATGAACTGCTCACGTTAGAGGTCATCCACCGCTATGTCGAGCTGCTAGATAAATATTTTGGAAGTGTAAGTACGGAAAATTAAACTAGCAAGATATCCTAAGGTAAGCCTGTTTGTAAAGGAGGCGAGTTAGATACATACTTTTTATTCGTGGACTTTNATTATTTTTTTTTTTTTTTTTTTTTTGATGATTTTTTCACTTGGTAAAATATATATAATCAACATATGTATGTATAATCTTTATAAAATCTTAATTGTCTCAGTTTTACTTAGATTTTTTGTTACTCGGAGGTCTATTCCTTGTGATCATTTACACTCAAGGTCACCTTTGACATGCTGTACTTTAATGACCTTGACCACAATTATTATGCTGGAGACAAAAGTGTTCAAACCATAGCTGTTGAGTTTTCCTCAAAATACCTGTTTTTGTTAAGAATCAAACATTTGTATGTTATGATTAATTAAATCAAGGCCAACCTAGTGTTCCTAGGTCAGACAACATACATGTACATGTAGGATCTTATTCATTGTAAAGAAAAAATCTCTCCAATATGTACAGTTTTGCACCTCTGACATAGATATAAACATTACTCAAGTACAAAAAACAGTTTCTTAAATTGTATGAAATCAAGAGGGGCTGCTGGCACAAGTTATGCATAAAATATTTAGTTTAGATACAATTTATTATCTCGATGCTCCTTGTTTCATTTGCCACCTCGTTTACCGCCAACATATTTCAATGTCCCTTTTTTTGGTTTTTTAAAAATTCATTAATGCATTTCCTTCAAATTATTGCCACATCCCTTTATAATGGCAAAATTTCTCTTCGCAAATGGTAGCAGTATAACAAGGTTTTACTGTATATATAAAAGTACACATACAAACTGTTATCAGAGGATATCTATGACAATTATGAATAATTTTTCATTCATATTTCATAATTTCAGGTTGGAAAATATTTATTTTGAAATATTCAAAAATCTGAAAAACCAAGGAGAGTAAAACTTGACCATCTGTTTTTGCTTTGGATTTAAATGTGATAATTTTGCATTACAGGTGTGTGAGTTAGATATTATATTTAACTTTGAGAAGGCGTATTTCATGTTGGACGAGTTACTGCTGGGCGGGGAGGTCCAGGACACAAGTAAGAAGAATGTACTGAAGGCTATAGCAGCACAGGATCTACTACAAGAGGTAACTCATCTTACAGACTCTATCTTATAAACCTGATCCAAACAAACAACAAACACAAACATCCTCCAAGAGAGTCACTCTCTGGTGCGTGTATATAACAGGAAGTCAGGCTGTAGTGTGTGTATGTGTAACAGGAAGTCAGGCTGTAGTGTGTGTATGTGTAACAGGAAGTCAGGCTGTAGTGTGTGTATGTGTAACAGGAAGTCAGGCTGTAGTGTGTGTATGTGTAACAGGAAGTCAGGCTGTAGTGTGTGTATGTGTAACAGGAAGTCAGGCTGTGGTATGTGTGTATGTGTAACAGGAAGTCAGTCTGTAGTGTGTGTATGTGTAACAGGAAGTCAGGCTGTGGTATGTGTGTATGTGTAACAGGAAGTCAGGCTGTAGTGTGTGTATGTGTAACAGGAAGTCAGGCTGTGGTATGTGTGTATGTGTAACAGGAAGTCAGGCTGTAGTGTGTGTATGTGTAACAGGAAGTCAGGCTGTGGTATGTGTGTATGTGTAACAGGAAGTCAGGCTGTAGTGTGTGTATGTGTAACAGGAAGTCAGGCTGTGGTATGTGTGTATGTGTAACAGGAAGTCAGGCTGTAGTGTGTGTATGTGTAACAGGAAGTCAGGCTGTGGTATGTGTGTATGTGTAACAGGAAGTCAGTCTGTGGAGTGTGTGTATGTGTAACAGGAAGTCAGGCTGTAGTGTGTGTATGTGTAACAGGAAGTCAGGCTGTAGTGTGTGTATGTGTAACAGGAAGTCAGGCTGTAGTGTGTGTATGTGTAACAGGAAGTCAGGCTGTAGTGTGTGTATGTGTAACAGGAAGTCAGGCTGTAGTGTGTGTATGTGTAACAGGAAGTCAGGCTGTAGTGTGTGTATGTGTAACAGGAAGTCAGGCTGTAGTGTGTGTATGTGTAACAGGAAGTCAGGCTGTAGTGTGTGTATGTGTAACAGGAAGTCAGGCTGTAGTGTGTGTATGTGTAACAGGAAGTCAGGCTGTAGTGTGTGTATGTGTAACAGGAAGTCAGGCTGTAGTGTGTGTATGTGTAACAGGAAGTCAGGCTGTAGTGTGTGTATGTGTAACAGGAAGTCATTGATCAGTACACTGAACTGGTGAACATCATATTATTTTATAGGCAGTACACTTGGTTCACTATGTAACTTTATACAAAGGAATTATTTCTGTATCAAAGAAATTTGTTTTATAGTAACAACTAGGTTTCAATGACAAAATCTATATCAACAACTGTTAATCAATGGGGTAGTGCTATAAACAAAAAAAACTTATATACTTATATATAAAAGAAAAACAAATGAAATAAAATATACTCAAACGCTATCATAGCCAGATGCATACTAAGTGATCCCTTCATGTTGGTGTCATTACTTTTGTCAAATCGCTATTTACAAAAATCCTGCAAAAAAAATGATTCTTTGCCTGGTACATTTCCAAAAAACTTAAACCCAATAACCATAGTTAAGGAGAACAGTGTACGGTTGCTTTCCTCCGATCAGCCATGGGAGGAGTCCTGCTTAATTTTCGACATTTAGTTTACATACAGTTCAAAGGACACGGGCTTAACAAGGTGTTATATTTATAAACATATCACTCACATGGATTTGACTGTACAAGCCATACAACTAGATGATATTAATTAACAGTGAAAATATCAGTCTTTCGCATTCTACTAATATACCCTTCGCGACTGCTTGGGAAACGCTTCTTTACTTTATTATTTCATCAATAGTAATTTAATTCAATGGCACAGGATTTTCTAAAAATAGCATCAACGAAAATGAGTTTAAAATCATGGATTTTAGTGTACATGGATATAAGAAATATTTTTTATGCTCCAAAGTGAAAATTCAGTATTAGAATTGGGGACAGGGTTTATGTAAAATTTCACTCAATTAAAAATGAAAACAGCACAAAATATATAAAAGACCCCTTGCCTTTATTTCCATCTCCAGATCCTTAGCTTTTGTGAGGCTGCTAAAGTAAAACTCAGAACAAAACCAACAAGAATCTTTTACAGTTTGTTTTCTGTACAGACAGTTAACGTCTGTTCATCAGGGATAAACCTGGACGGGTCCATTGACTCATCAAAACTGAAATTGACCCCTCCATGTTCCAATATTCTTTTGATTTTACATTGAATGGCCCCCCTTAATTTTGATATTGGCTGAAAATTGCTCTCAAATTATAATGTATGATATAGGTATAGGTGAATGACCTTAGTTCTCTTGTGTTCCAGCGTTATATTCCACTCCCTTAACTTTTGTGACACTCACGACTCACTTGTTTGGATTTTTAAACTATTTTTCCTTTTTTCCTTTTCCGGAATATGGTTTACGATTTTCTGCTAACCTCTGTGGCTTATTAACCCCTTTAGGAATGTTTCAATCAATATGTTGCGTCTTTGAATTTCACTTTCATTTTACAAGAGCACCTCTGCTGATTTATAACAACTTGGCAATGTAACACCATTTTTCATTGGTCAACATTCAGAGGTTTTGGACCATGGACTACACACATGTCCCAGATATACTTATATACATGCAAACGAAANTTTTAAAAAACCCCCCCCCCCCCCCCCTCCCAATATGCGTTTCATGACATTTGACGTGTACAACTGCAGATAGGAATTATAATCACCAACTGTGGAACGTGTAATTCTGGATTAGAAAATGTTAGGGGGGAATTGACAAAGGCTGATCAAACATGCACATATATTGATTATGTCTTAAATACATTTTTTGTCCGGTTTTCTATGAAGAAGTATCGCTATTGGTTACCAGTGCTGTAGTGGTTCTCTGTCCCATCTGTCACTTGTGTCACCTCTCACACTCTGAAAAGCTAATGTTTGAAAATAGCTTAAAAATATAATCTCTAGGTTAATATGAAAAGTTCTCTTAAAAATAGATATTAATTTGTGACCATATTGTGTAAGACAAAAAAACATGTCAACTGACAACAATTCTGGCTTGACAGCATAAAAATAGTCTGTTGTTGGCCTGAGGTTGGTACATACAGTCTGTTGTTGGCCTGAGGTTGGTACATACGGACTGTTGTTGGCCTGAAGTTGGTACATACAGTCTGTTGTTGGCCTGAGGTTGGTACATACAGACTGTTGTTGGCCTGAAGTTGGTACATACAGGCTGTTGTTGGCCTGAGGTTGGTTCATACAGACTGTTGTTGGCATGAGGTTGGTACATACATACTGTTTTTGGCCTGAGGTTGGTACATACAGGCTGTTGTTGGCCTGAGGTTGGTACATACAGTCTGTTGTTGGCCTGAGATTGGTTCATACAGACTGTTGTTGGCCTGAGGTTGGTACATACATACTGTTGTTGGCCTGAGGTTGGTACATACAGTCTGTTGTTGGCCTGAGGTTGGTATATACAGTCTGTTGTTGGCCTGAGGTTGGTACAGACAGACTGTTGTTGGCCTGAGGTTGGTATATACAGTCTGTTGTTGGCCTGAGGTTGGTACACACAGTCTGTTGTTGGCCTGAGATTGGTGCATACAGTCTGTTGTTGGCCTGAGGTTGGTACACACAGTCTGTTGTTGGCCTGAGATTGGTACATACAGACTGTTGTTGGCCTGAGGTTGTACATACAGTCTGTTGTTGGCCTGAGGTTGGTACATAACAGACTCCTGCAGGTTGATCTGTGTGTAGAAGATATCAAAAGAACTTTCACTCAGGCATACATGTACCTGCAGTTTTGTATTTTAAATGTAAATAGCCCCAGTTGCTATCAAATGAAGTCTTTATTGTAGATTACCGATGTTCATCTGCTCCTATTAGTTTATCATTATTCCCTCTTCCAGGAGCAAAATTAAAGAGATCTTTTTAAGACACAAAGATGACAAAATTATCGGCATTTGACTATATGTAAAGCCAGATAAATGTGTGCTGTACTTTTCAGCTGCTTGAACAGACAGAGAACAGCGTATAGATTTTAGTAGGAGTCCGTGTGAGGTTAGAAAACTATACTGTTACATTAATTATTATACATGTAATCTCCTTAACCAGCTCTCACTAACATTGGGTCTAATTTCGTTTAATTAGCATGGCATGCCCGAGGTAAAATGTTGGTGTTGACTCAAAAACGAATATCCCACTGTTAGGTTATATCAATAGGTAAAACACACATTTACCGTCCATTTCTGTAAGAGCCAGTCAAGAGGCACGGTAGTCTAGTAGTAGGACGCCGGGCTTGTGACCAAAGGGTTGCAAGTTGGAGTCACGCCATGACACTTTGTTGTATCTTTAAGAAACATACTTTACTCTGATTGTTCCAGTCTACTCAGCTGTAAATGAGTATGTGGTTGGGCAGTGCAAGAAGTGTAGAATGCTAGCTGTGAGCGCCGAAATGACAGCACTGGCTGTATGCTCCCCAGGGAGTTGAGAAAGGTATTGGCTGGTTTCAAAGGCCCTATAACCACGGATAATAATTTGTGAACCGCTTTGAGATGACCTACGAACTAGGTTGTGATAAAGCGGTATATAAGATTAAGATATTGTAAAACGGTTCATTAGATTTCATCAATGACCTCTCTTGATCTTGTTCATGACCTAGATTTGCTGTAAATTACTCATATTCATTTTGAGTTAGCTTGTACAAAGTACTGTCTAAGCTACTTTTCATAGACTTCTTCTACAGAACCTTGAAGCCCAAAGTCAGTATTACCCAGAGTCTAATGACTTAATTTGTTAACATATTTTCAGGAAAATTGTAACAAAGGTCAAGACCTCCAATGAAGTTTGTACACATGCTTCAGTGTCACAAGGTCACTGTTGCTATTATATAGGTCAACCTTTTCTATTTTGTTAACAGATTGTCATTATTCTGACAACTTTAGGGTCAAAAGGGGGGGGGGGGGGGGGGGGGTTCTTGCATGTCTGATAGATGTTTTTAAGTTTATTAAGTTTTACCCGACTGAACAATTTATCTACATCTTTTCCAGTTAGATTCCATATGTTATTTGTTTATCAAATTTGTATCCAAATAATTAATAGAGTACATAAATGTTATGATTTGTATGCACATTAATTTATTTTGCAAAAATAAACCTATGTTTAAATTCCATAGCAATCTTTTTTCACATTCATATAAATATCAATTAAAATACAGTATAGACATGTACATTAAAGTAGAATCTTCATGCATGTGAAGCTTTACTTACAGTTGTAATATTTACAAAGTCCTTTTTAGGTCCCCTAATATTGTCGGGTTTATTTTCCATGTGCAAATAAAACAGAAACAAGGTGCAAAAGCTAAAAAAGGATGGAAAATTTGGTAAACACATGATCTCCTTACAGAAGGTTGTAGAGAGAATTCGTATAAACATATTTTTGATACATGCGTTAGATAAGTATTGAGTAATACTACAGTGTTTAATTGCACTTTAGACACTAGCGCCACCCATTCCTTATATGGAATTGTTTCTCTTTATACTCATATAATACTTAAGAGTTCACACATGGTGCAAAATCACTTTGTAAGATTATACGACTGGTACACAATTACTTTGTAAGATTATACGGCTGGTACACAATTACTTTGTAAGATTATACGGCTGGTACACAATCACTTTGTAAGATTATACGGCTGGTACACAATCACTCTGTAAGATTATACGGCTGGTACACAATCACTTTGTAAGATTATATGGCTGGCACACTTTGCATGTACAAGTGTTAATGTAGATGCATGTATAAGTTTAACGGTTTAAGTTGCATTCTTTGTGTCCTGAGTTACAAGTAGAGTTATGTATGTACTAGTGGTGATATACATGATTTGTTCCTCAAGCTGGTCGGGTAAAATGACAAATATGTGTCAAATAGTTTCAAAATACATGTTGTATATATGTTAGTCGCAATATACTGCGACACAGTTTCCACTTTAAAGCATATCATCACTGCATGATACATTTATATATTTTGTTGTTTATGATTTTGTGGGTGTATATATATATATATACTCTGTTATTTAGAAAAACTTACCATTTCTGTCAATTGATATAAATATATATATACATATGTGTGTTTTAATCTCATAATTTCTATTCCTTTTACAAAAATAGAACATCGTTGATAAAGAAAGTTTTTTACAGTGTTAAAAAAAATCAATCCAAGGGCACACGCAGGGCAAATGTCAACATTTCCCTGTCCATGTGTTGACTTTCTCATTACAATGTATACATAGATATTGATTGCGAACACCTCATATGAATGCAAGTTTACACGTATGACCAATAAACAGTCATATGCACATACATTAATGTTTTTTCAGTGTCCTACTTAGATTTTACATGCATGGTACCGGTCTTCTTAGTTATTAGTGAAATGCTTCCTGAGAAAAAAATCCGTAATCCATGTTGCAATGGTAAAACACCTTGTGTTTTGGGACATAATTCAAATTTAGATGTCTGTACTAGATTCATTATAACTTGATGAAAATACAAACTCTGTATATTGATGGGTATCAGTGTTTGAGATGTGTACACTGAACAGTTGGTTTGTGCCATTCTGACACGGTAACAGAAGGATTGATACAAATTTTAACTTTTTTTGAGGAAGACCCCATTTGAAAGTTTTAGTACGCTTCCTTGGACTGGCACCACAATTTTCTTCTTTTTGAAACATTCACAGCTTAGCTTTTTCAACAACTTTTACATAATTACAACTTTACTTGCACAAAGTTATTCTTTTCAGCGCTTTAAAGTAATGAAAGTCTAGATTTGTATAAATTTACTTTTCTAAATAATTTTGTTTTCAAACAGATTTGTGCCTTATATTAATTCACTCTCTGCTTTTGTAGTATATACATCAGTAGTATTTTGTAGTATATAAATCAATGTACACTATATATATACCACCACCTTATAGCAATATCTCTTGTTGTCATAGTAACAAGTAAGGGGAAATAATCAGCATCCGTTCTCACGACCCATCACAATTGTTTGGCATGTAAATGAATTTAAAAATCATCAAAACATTACTTAATTTTTTGGATACTTGTCCGTTTTCTTTTGAATCAGGATGAGGCACTTGAAAACGCTCTTCAAGAGTATGGATTATGTTAGCGCGTGGAACAGGAAGTGAAACAGCACTACTCCGGGGTAGCTACAATACTTCATTGTGATTGGTTGTTATTCTGTTTCTAACTTTTCTGTCCAGACATTGTCTGTCCGTGGAAACATTCTGACCAGGTATTCACCTCTGAGGAATTCAGAAAAAGGTTCAATTGGTCTGTTTTAGGTAACTTCTTATATATATTTTTTTACATTCGTGAAAATCACACAAATTCTGCAAGATATTTTAGTTAATTTTATCATGTCATATCGAGTGAAACTAACGGAATGGGAACTTTATCAAAAAAGTCTAAAGCAGTTTCTTAATTATATCTTTGGTTTATTTGTTTATTGTCAGTTTAACATGAACAGATTCACAAGTTATACAAGCAGTGGAGGAATATTTTGAAAAGATCTATTGTCCGATGAACTTTTATAAAATACATTACCCAGTAGTTTAAAGTATGGATTACAAAGGTTGTCTTCGACTACTGTAAACGTGATATGTGTTTTGGTCAATACTGTTGGTGATACCTGAATTGGTCAGTGTGTATCCTGGACAATGAAATGGATGCTCGTTTACCACACAAGTCTGGTGCATGCCCCTGTGTCTGATGATCCGTTTCATAGTGGTTACCATAACAACCAGAAACACCTCTTAATTATATTCATTTTTGGTGATGTATGGTTATTTTCTATATATTAAGCATTACATCATTTATGCATATTGATTTATTGAAGTGACAGACATTTCACCTCTATCTATCTTTCCTGGTTTGTTTGGCCAATGTGAATTAGTGTCTGTTAAACAGGACTAGCCTGTATATAAATGTATGTGGTTTGATACTGTAGATTAGTACATGTAGATAGCGTATCATTTACACCTAAACATGCTGGAGACACCACCCTTCATAAGTGAACCTCTTTCATGAGAGACCAACCCCAAAAAACAATCCTTTCTCTTAAGATACCACCCCTATTTAGCAGCCCTCTCTAAAGAGACCACACCTATTTAGCAGCCCTCTCTAAAGAGACCACCCCTATTAAGTGAACCTCTTTCATGAGACCAACCCCCCAAAAAAATCCTTTCTCTTAAGATACCACCCCTATTTAGCAGCCCTCTCTAAAGAGACCACCCCTATTAAGTGAACCTCTTTCATGAGAGACCAACCCCAAAATACAATCCTTTCTCTTAAGATCCCATCCCTATTTAGCAGCCCTCTCTAAAGAGACCACCCCTATTAAGTGAACCTCTTTCATGAGACCAACCCCAAAAAACAATCTTTTCTCTTAAGATACCACCCCTATTTAGCAGCCCTCTCTTTAGAGACCACCCCTATTAAGCAGCCCTCTCTAAAGAGACCACCCCTATTAAGCAGCCCCCTCTTAAGAGACCAACTCTATTAAGCAGCCCCTTTCTCTTAAGAGACCAATCCTATTAAGCAGCTCTCTCTTAAGATACCACCCTTATTAAGCAGCCCCCTCTTAAGAGACTAACCCTATTAAGTAGCCCCCTCTTAAGAGACCACCCTTATTAAGCAGCCCCATCTTAAGAGAACAACCCTATTAAGCAGCCCCCTCTTAAGAGACCACCCTTATTAAGCAGCCCCCTCTTAAGAGACCAACTCTATTAAGCAGCCCCTTTCTCTTAAGAGACCAATCCTATTAAGCAGCTCTCTCTTAAGATACCACCCTTATTAAGCAGCCCCCTCTTAAGAGACCAACTCTATTAAGCAGCCCCTTTCTCTTAAGAGACCAATCCTATTAAGCAGCTCTCACTCTTAAGATACCACCCCTATTAAGCAGCCCCCTCTTAAGAGACTACCCCTATTAAGCAGCCCCCTCTTAAGAGACCACCCTTGTTAAGCAGCCCCCTCTTAAGAGACTAACCCTATTAAGTAGCCCCCTCTTAAGAGACCCCCCTTATTAAGCAGCCCCATCTTAAGAGAACAACCCTATTAAGCAGCCCCCTCTTTAGAGACTAACCCTATTAAGCAGCCCCCTCTTAAGAGACCAACTCTATTAAGCAGCCCCTTTCTCTTAAGAGACCAATCCTATTAAGCAGCTCTCTCTCTTAAGATACCTCCCCTATTAAGCAGCCCCCTCTTAAGAGACCCCCCTTATTAAGCAGCCCCATCTTAAGAGAACACCCCTATTAAGCAGCCCCCTCTTTAGAGACTAACCCTATTAAGTAGCCCCCTCTTAAGAGACCCCCCTTATTAAGCAGCCCCATCTTAAGAGAACAACCCTATTAAGCAGCCCCCTCTTAAGAGACCAACTCTATTAAGCAGCCCCTTTCTCTTAAGAGACCAATCCTATTAAGCAGCTCTCTCTCTTAAGATACCACCCCTATTAAGCAGCCCCCTCTTAAGAGACTAACCCTATTAAGCAGCCCCCTCTTAAGAGACCACCCTTATTAAGCAGCCCCTTCTCTAAAGAGACCATTTCTGGGCCTCCCCTTAGGTGTCTTTATACAGATGTGACCCTGCGTAGGTTTATTTATACAGAAGTGACCCTCTGTAGGTCTTTTTATACAGATTTCAGACTCCCCGTAGGTCTCAATCTTTATGCAGATGTGACTGTATATGGAATTCCCAACATCTTTTGTGTTCATAATTCATCTCATATGCTATTGTCAAAATTAACAAGCAAATTTGGTTCTGTAAATATAGGGCTTGAATTTGCTAGGTGAAGTTTTTACAGTTCTGTTGCTAGGACAGGATGTCAACGATTAGGATAGATATTACTGCAAGTCGTGCATGTAAGGTAGAAATTCTGGATGCAAATATGCATGTACCATGTATGGTATAGTATATAGAAGCTTATGTTTATAGGGTATGGCGATGTGAATCATCAAATTGAACCAAAAGTTGTTTTAATGCAACATGATTCCTTAGATAAAATTTGTCTGCATGGTTTGAAAATATATTTTTTTATTGTAAATGGATTTTATTAAAAGATTCTTTCTTAAAGAAGATGCTGTGATATATGTCCTAAATAAATCGGACATTGGAAATTAATCTTCTGGGGTAACACTAGCACTGTAGTTCTGGCGTTAGAGACTAGCAGATTTCACCAGGGACTGAATGTCTAGGCCTGGCTTAGCCTGTCCTTTGGACTTGTGAAGTTTTCTTATCATTTGACTGATAGAACATAAGAGAAGAATATGTATTTCCTTAATCTGGTTTGGGATTCCCATTCCACTACCAAAAATTGTAATCAAGTATTTGAAACCATTTTTTCTGCAAGACTATTACCTTGATAAATCATTTCGGAACAAAGAAATATTCCTTGCGGGATTTTTATAAAAATATTAAAAATGAAATAAAAAAGATATAATCAACAAGATTGTTCTGAGTGTAAACACTCAGCGGGGCTAGACCGGGGTTCGAAACCCTGGACTTCAGATTATTATACTAGTGCTGCAACAGGTTGAGCTACCTGGTCAAACGAAGAGTACTACTGTAGCCCAAATGTTCTACATTTAATCTGAATGGGAGTTAAGGGGAGGTAACTGTGTATAGGAAAAACAGTGGGGAAGGGATCCTTAAAGTAACAAATACTGCATGTTAACATTCCCTAGCACTGTACTATATTGTCTCCAGGTCAGTATGTTTTTGATATCGTGCTGAGGAAATGGCACCTGGAAGAAATCTCAGATTACATGTAGTTACATTACCATGAGACTAGCAAATGATCTCTTCACTAGCCCTGTAGAATATCAAGCAAAAATACTTAATATGTCTTAGCTATATTTTCTTGGTTTCAAAGTTTTATTTAATACACAAATAATGTACGTATTAAACATGTCACAACGTTTCAAGACCGACTGGTCCCTTTAAATTTGTCAAGCATTACTGAGTGAGCGATACAGTTTTGTCACATCGTTGTACAGGTAAAAAATACAGATCACTCACTCTGTCATAGCTTGACAAAGGGACCAGTCAGTCTTGAAACGTTGCAACACGTTTAATACGTATATTGTTTGTGTAGAAAGTAAAACTTTGATATCACATATTTCCAAACTGATGAATCTTCTTGAAGACATATTTTCTTGAGTCTGTTACGTCACCTATATTATAATATACAAGAAGTCATCATGCATATCATTGAAATACATTTGTAGTGTTATGATTATATTGACCGTTTGAAAGGATCATCAGAACCAGGGTTAGTTACTGCTGTCGGTCAGTTCAGCCAACCACACGTTTACCCCCACATTTGATGTGTTTCCTTCCTCCTACGATGTCGTGCACAATTCTCTGTCACAATTAAATTGGAACTCGACCACAACATAGGTATGAAAGGTGAGAGAATGAAGTCCAAGATTTTTTATTTATTTTATGAAACTGATTTTTCCAACTTAATTATACTAATCACTCTTGTTGGCCCGGGGGGGGGGGGGTCTTACTGTGGGAGGAAACCGGAGTACCCCGGAGTAAACCCACCTGGTCGGGCAGGTGACCCCGTTCCTTTTCACGTCTGATCGGGTAATTGAACCCCGGGCACCTTGGTGAAAGGCAAGTGCGCTATCCACTGCGCCACCCGGCCACCCCAAGTGGAAGATGGATGTTTGCTCGTTTATCTTGGGGACCAATATGTTCATATATCGCAGGCATTGGGTCGACTCTGTTGTAATGCAGTATAAGACATTACATAACGTTATTAGAAATCTTCAATTACAAATTAATATACTTAGGACTTTTTTTTTTTCTATATGATAGCTTATTGCAATTAATTACAAGTGTAAATTTCTGTTAAGAAAAATAGATGTATATATATATATAAAATATAGGCATGCTATCAAAGCAGTCAATAACAAATAACGGACCATTACAATTACATACAGTTCTTTAAGTTTGTGTTACAGTGACATGCATCAAATTTTGTGTTACAATAATAATATATACAACATTTGATATAGTGCCCTATCTAGCTAGATTAAGCCACTCTAAAGCACTTTACAGTACAAAGATATACAATATATACAATCAATACAATTTTTTAGGAATTCCCAGGAGCTGCCTTATCAGGCGCTTAATGCTAAT